AAGAAGCTACTAGTAACAAGTGCATCGCTTCTAGTAACAGGTGCCTTACTAGTAGTGACAATGTTTGCTATTAGAAACAAGTGCCTTACTAGTAGTAACAAGAAGCTACTAGTAACAAGTGCATCGCTTCTAGTAACAGGTGCCTTACTAGTAGTGACAATTTTTGCTATTAGAAACAAGTGCCTTACTAGTAGTAACAAGAAGCTACTAGTAACAAGTGCGTCGCTTCTAGTAACAGGTGCCTTACTAGTAGTGACAATGTTTGCTATTAGGTCTGACTCCTGGTGCCACGTTGTGAGGAGGTGAGATTGAAGGAGGGGGCCGACCTGGGGACCTGCCTGTGTGACGGTTTGGGGCATTCAGGTGCCCGGTCCACAGTCTGCAATTGTACTATTTGATGTTTAATGTTGGAGGCTTTGGGAGACATTGGTTTGTGGAACCTTTTTCCGCCCTGGGAAAGCACAAAAGACGTTTAACCGCTTAACCTTGTGCGTCCTCGGCCTATCTGACATGTGCCTAGCTAGGACCTCGGTCCACAGAAGTAAGCCTTCAAAAAAGAACAGTGGACAACGGTGGACAAACCGTGGACCGGTCCATCGAAGTTGTGGGAACCCATTATATAGAGTCATGCAACAGCCCTTTAAGGTCCTGGAAATCCCATTCAAGTCATGGATTGAAGTGATAGGGGGCATATATGATATATTAGCCAATATATGCTCAAATGCAGGACAGTTTTGAGATGTTTTGAAGATTGACTTACTTTAAGACTTGTCTCCGGAGGAACAACAACCAACTAGCGCATCTTCAGCTCGAAGGCTCCCCCTCCGCAGCCGGATCGATCTCCTGCAGCATGCGGATAACCTTCCGGAATTGCATTTTGTCCAAATGCCCGGAATCGTCCACCTTGGGAGCCGATCCACACATGAGAGCCACACAAAAAGACATGAGCATTGAGCATAGGGTTGAAATCGAAAGCCTCATTTTGGGATAAAGGAAAGCACACCTTCCCCAAATCGACCTTCTCAATCCTCTAGACAAGCATAACTTAGCTAGCAGCGCCATTAGTGGCATGTCCCTTGATTGCCCAAATGACCTCCAAAACCACAGGCCAAGCTCCTACCTCTCAAGCGTGCTTGACACCAACATCCTGACATCACTGGCATATCGCACCAAAGGTGAAACAAACAGCTGGGTTCCATCATGTTCCATCGCTATTGGGTTGGAGGCCATCGCTGTTAAAGAGGGAGGACATCAATGGCAAATCGCTTCAAAGGGTAAACAAACAGCACAGCTTCCATCGGCCCCAGCTCCGGCCCCTGTGGCCATGTGGCGTCGACCTGCCGCAGCACGCTCTGCATGGCTTCAAAGCTCACCTGGCGTGCAGGCCAGGAGATACTAGTAGCTTCCTTGCTCCTAGTAGCGCTGCCAGGAGCCCCTAGTTTCTTCTTGTTCCTAGTAGGATCGTCTTGACCCACGAGTCAAGGAGTCATGGGCCTGGGAAGGAGAGGGGAGGCATTACCAACTGCTCCAAATGGATTGACTGTTGGTCTCCAAGCGCGGACGATGCTCATGGTCTTCATGTTTACAAAGGCATCGTCCTGCAGCTCCTTTTAACCTCGTCACCTCATAGATACCAAACACCCCAAAAAAAGGATCGCGCGGCCAAAGTGTTCGATATTTCATGATGTTTCCCTCCATTCTTCTCAAACAGTATCGCGACAAAAGCAACGCCTGACACGCGACTGGCTGCCTGGTAGCCCAAGGACCGGATGGCCGTGGGCACTTCCAGCGGCGACAAGCGTCCAGTGCCCTCGGGGTCTTCACGGCGGAAGGCCGTGTCAATGCACCTCAAAGAAGGCGGCGCGACGTAGAAAAAGAAGACTCGTTTTTTGGAACGGAAGCTCTTAACAATCGGCTGAATTTCATACTTTGAGCAGCTCTCAGTCAAATCAAACAGAGTTTAGAAAAGGGAGATCGTGATGAAGGGGCTTCACAGGCGGCAATGAACACCTACCTATGGGGTGGTTACCTTGACTGGGGTTGACCAAGGAAGAAATCCAGGACCTGAGAGAAGTAACAAGTAACAATCTACTGAGTCTACTTTTCTTCTCGTGTGGCGACCTTCCCCTCACCGAGCTTGGTGCTTTTTCTCTTCCAAGCAGCTCCAGTTCAGAGCTGCGCATACCCTCGCGATGGCGGTACATGAGCAACAAGCGCCACAAGTTGCTGAGATCCAGATGATGCTCAAGGATGCCCGCGTCCTCCCCACAATGAACACCACGCAGTGATTCAAACACGATGCTCATCCAACGAGCTGGAACTCACTTGCTGGACATCTTGTTGCATTTTATCAACAGGTCTTGGGTTGCAACATTATTGATCTGGAGCCCGGAGCGAAAAACGCTTACTTCTGTCATGTTGACTGATCATTGGGCTTGTAAGGTGTGCAGAAAGCTTGTCACATATGGTGTGGATATATCTCTGCCTACGGATGCAAGGAGCTTCGCCTAAATTGACCTTGGTTGGAGGCCTCCTAATTTGCAAGCAAGACAAAGATTCAACCAATGGGGCTTCATTTCTTTCAAGCCTCACCCTTTTTAGTGCATTGTCCAAGCAAGCGCAGCACCCCAAAACTCGATCTGCTGTATTTGTGATAGGTTTCAACTGCAAGAGGCTCCGGATCACGCCTAAATATCTGCACCAATCAGTACACTAGCATAGAACAATTCATATTTCACCGATCGCCGATCATCTTTACTGTACATCTCCAAGAAACAACGCAATACGCCACCCAAAGCATGCTTCATGTTCCCGTTCCCATGTTCCCCATCCAACAGTTCAGCCTTCGGTTCGTGCACGTTCTGCCTCACCTCGCTTCCAAACCGTCACCGTCCTGAGCCGCCTCAGTGATCGCCTCGGCATCCCACAAGATGTAACCCAAGTCGCCTCAGCTTCAGCGAAGAGCCCAAAACCAAAAAGTGGCACCAGTGAACTGCGAACCCGTTTCAGATTAGTAGAAAGTTCTGGAAGAACTCCAGGTCAGGATTTGGGTGTTGTCGCGGTAACGTTGCCGCCCTTTGAGATCCTTTTACTGGAAACTGCACTTGGCACATCTCACACCGCCGTCTCACGATCTCAGTCCGGTGGCGGAAGAGGTGCGGCACACGCTCACGGGGCAAGCAACCCTCGTCCTGGGCGGAGGCGATCGCCTTCCGCACCAAATCGAGCTCGTGCTCCCGTACCTTCCTGACGCAAAGCACGTGGCAGAATTGAAGGTCAGGTGGTTTGTACTCCTAGGCTGGAGGCCATCGCTGGTAGGTTGGAGGCCATTCCGCAGAATGCATGGGCTAGATTGAGTCTTGTTCAGGGTGCCTTGTGTTATCATCAAACATGTACCTCTGCAACATGGTGACCCCATACAGAGTGCGGCTGTAGACCAACGGCCGAATGGTCTTCGCAGTGTTCGGAACAGGTGGAGTGGCATCGAGTTGCGGTGAGCTCATGCAGTTTGGATCTGTTGGGTCCTTCTTGATCGCCCAAACACTTGCAAAGGAAGGGACATTGTATTTCCCATGTCAGGTTTGCACTTGCCTAGGTTATTGAACACATGATGTGATGGAATACCGCAGCGCCCTGAAGAGCACCAATGGGGGACGAAAGCTAGGCGACCCAGCGGCCTGTTTGAGAGTTGTGCCTTTTTCTTTCCGGTTGGGAGTGTGATCCGATGAGTTTCCGACCACGATGACTCGCTATCCTCGTTGCCTTGTTTTCAGCCAGGGAAGTTTCCTTGGCAAGGCGCCTTTTCGAATCGAGGCAATATCGGTAAAGCCACAGCTCTTTAGCTACTTGACGACTGTTTCCTACAAGGTGATTACAAAACTGGTTAGTTTTGGGGTGAGAAGACCATCAATAAGCACCTATGTCCTGAGCAAACTGGATCCACGAGATAGCCAAGCATCCGCAGGCAGCGCAAATACTCGCGTTGGTTGATGGTGCCGCTCTGATCAGCGTCCACCTCCTTCAGGATGTCGTGCAACGCATCCTCCGGGATGCTGCACCTCATCCGGCGGGTTCGCTGATGTTCGGGTGGGTTTTCTTTTTCTCGGTGCGGGCGTGGAGCCTGAAGTGTCGGCTTGTCTACGGAAGTCGGACCCTGAAGTTGTGGTCTGTGGTCTCGACTTTCGGGGGACGTAAGGGTCACCCAACGCCCTACGGACCTGATTTCGGGTGCGATGAACAGGAGTCAACGAGGTGCTCCTTGGACTTGCGGAGGAAGCTTGGAGAGTCGTGGAATGCAGGTCAATGCCAATGTAGTTTTGTGCATGAGTCCACCCTCTTGTGACCCATGGGTCCAATGCCCGTGACCATGAGGTGTAGAACTGAAACAAGCCATGCCCAGGGATTTCCAAGAACTACAGTATATACAGTAATTGCGCAGCACATGTTAGAAGTCCTGTTGGACTCCAGAGATGAAGCATCCCAGGCACTTCAGCCACTTCAATATCATCCGGATCTCATCCTTGCCGCTGTGGGGAGTGCAAAACGCGTATATTGCGCCAGCTTTGCTTCTCTTGGTGCTACCCTCGAGATTTCTAGGTAACTGGCTGAGGTACTTTGGACCACCCCTTGACTGGATTACAAGTATGCAGAATCGCCAAATTATCTTGGAAGAGGCGGTTTTTGAGAAGAACAATCTCTAACCAAGCGTGGTATCTTTGTTGGGGCACCACCTTTAGTACAACAATTGTTTGTTGGGGCACCTTCCTGTGCTACACTCAAATTCCATGTTTGGGCGTCGTTTGTGGCGCCATTATGAAAAACCATCCCATCCGGTCACAAGCAGGAAGCCACTTCTTGGAGCTGCCAAAAGGAGCACAATCAAATCTCTGCGTGTCAAACGCGAAAAACAAACACCAAAAAAAA